GTGTCCGTCAAGGCTGTCCACTTTCCCCATTTTTGTTTAACTTCATCATAGACCTATTGATGGAAATAACTTTCTCGTCGACTGAATTTTCGGGTATTGATCTCCTTCCAGGAGGTCCACTTATCGACTTAGAATACGCAGATGACATAGTCCTGTTTGGTGAAGACGCTGACAAAATGCAGAGTCTTCTGGTAGCACTAAGCAACAATGCCAGAATGTTTGGGATGCGCTTCTCTCCCTCTAAATGCAAGTTGTTGCTTCAGGACTGGTCTGCGTCAACACCTGAACTAAGGATAGGGAGTGAAGTAGTCGAACGCGTCGACAACTTCACTTATCTTGGAAGTCTGATCAGCCCTAATGGGTTGGTGTCTGACGAAATCTCAGCACGGATTCGAAAAGCTCGTTTGGCTTTTGCCAACTTACGTCACCTTTGGCGGAGGCGAGATATCCGTCTATCAATAAAAGGACGAGTATACTGCGCGGCAGTCCGTTCTGTCTTACTTTACGGCAGCGAAACATGGCCTTTAAGAGTGGAAGACACCCGTAAACTACTAGTATTTGACCACAGATGCCTTAGAAATATTGCTGGCATCTGCTGGGATCACCGGGTAAGTAATAGGGAGGTTAGACGCAGGGTATTAGGGAATGATGATAAATCAGTTGATGAGGTTATGAATCTTTATCAACTGAGATGGTTGGGCCACGTATTACGTATGCCTGAACACCGATTACCACGACGTGCAATGCTAACCGGTATTGGAAATGGTTGGAAGAAAGTTAGGGGCGGCCAAACCAAAACGTGGCATCAGTGCCTGAAGTCACTAACTTCTAGTCTGAGCCATGTTGGTAGATGCAGACTACTTGGTTGGGGTCCGCGTGACTTTCGTAACCAATGGTTGGAGACTCTTGGTGACATGGCTCAGAATCGATCACAATGGCGTCGGTGTATACACTCCCTGTCTTCCCTTAAACTAAGAGATTAAAATCACTTCATATCTTTCTTTCTACGAACTAATTCTTTCTTCCTATACTATATCCTTATTGCAACCTTTGACCTAACCACTCCTATGAATCCGGTGTTCATCTTGCTGTGCTAATGAGGTATGGCAACCTGGACCGATGCACATATGTGCCTGGTCCTACGTTGTAGCTGACTGACTGACTACAAGTTATATGTAGGTGAAAAACATTTAACTGATGTATTTTATATAGAAGTATATGTAAATATAAGTCCCTGCATAAAGACGAAGAACAGTAGGGTTATTCCGACCGATCTGACTTGATTTATTTTGATATAAAGCCTCAGTGAATGTTTACTTTAATGGAGTGTGATTATAATCACTCATCCCTAAATGGGGTATTGCATCACATCCATTTTTTTAAAATGTATGTAATCCTTTCCGTAACATGAATAAACACATAAATGACGTTCTATTCAATAATTTAAACATTCATCCATTACTTACTTACTTACTTACACCTGTTACTCCTCGTGAAGGAGCATAGGCCGCTCACCAGCATTCTCCATCCAACCCTGTCCTGGGCAATCCTTTCCAGCTCCGTCCAGTTGTAATTCATCGTTTTCATATCTGCTTCCGTTATCCGACACAATGTGTTCTTTGGCCTTCCTCTTAAACATTCATCTATACTATCCAGAATTTCGTGCTCAAACCATTCAAATAAGTTACATCACCAGAATAATATTCACTATCTATTCCACCCAATAATAATAATAATAATGCATCACCATCTCTGCCTTTGTCATTACTAGAAATTGAAGTTTAGTTAGTAGGAGAATATAATTTGAACAAAATAACACACCTATTCATCATACATGATGAATGGCATTACAGACTAAATGGTGAGTAACAGTGTGTATGTTTTCTAGTAGTGGATTTCATTAAATAATTTGAGAAGACAAACGAAAACTACTGATTGGGTTATCCATCAAATCACTTGAAATTTGATCGACAGGATATAGTAATGTTGCCGAGACTATAATTTATGAATGAATCAATCAGATTTACGATAATAGGTCCTGAATTTTGGAGCGAAATTAATTCATTCATGTGGTTAAATAGAGTCAGTTCTTGATGAAACTCTTATATCTAATTCCTAACCCTAATAATCAACTGTAGATACTAAACCTAATTATTCACACTGGTTTATAACCCTCATATAGCCGTAGTATATAGGTCGAGATTCTCAAGGTCAATTTAGTGCCTAACTCCAACATCATGAAATGAGAAGTCAAAATATGAACAGATATGGGATAATGTATTTCAAGTGGATCAGAAAAGTGAATTAGACAGAGACAACAATGCAGCGTTAAAAATAAGCCGGAACTAAGTTAACATTCAATGAAGTGGCAAACGAATAAAAAAGTGTATACTTATGAGTTCGTAAAATAAGGCTGTAACAATTGTATAGAAACCAAAAACGGTGTTTACTAACTAAACCTACCTTGATAAGTAACTAAAAAAATATTCCCAATAGACAAGATCTCAAAGGAACTATTTGATATATCAAGAATGTAATAAGATAAGATGGATTCAGCTATTCAATAGCTGTTCCTATAAGTTTAATGTAAATTATGTTTTGTTTAAATAGATTGATGGTTGAAATGTTGGTGGCATTTTTAAAAGTATTTCACAAATTAGAAGATAATTGCTTGATTTTAATATCGAATACAATTGGGTATAGTAAATAATTTAGTAGAAATTATATTTGTTTGAAGAAGCGCTGGAAGTGGATAGGACACACATTGAGGAAAGCACCCAACCGCGTCACAAGACTAGCCCTCACATGGAATCCACAAGGTCAAAGGAAAAGAGGAAGACGGAAGAACACATTACGCCGGGAAATGGAGATAGACATGAGAAAAATGAATAAGAATTGGATAGAACTAGAAAAGAAAGCCCAGGACAGAGTGGGTTGGAGAATGCTGGTCGGCGGCCTATGTTCCATTAGGAGTAACAGGCCTTAGAAACAGAATAGAAAATATTTGTTTGAATAATTTAAATTTATTGAGATATATTTTGAAACAATGGAATTACAAAGCTTGCAAAACACGATCTTGTCCAACCACATTTGTAAACAATGTATTCACTCCGTTTGTTGTATTAGGTGCCATATCAAGTAAACCATTAAATTGTAAATTGGTTATTATATTACTTGACTGAACTTCACCAAATGTTTAGTTCTTGATTGTTATGGAACTAATCTGTAGCAGTAAATAAATCCCCGAAATCAAAAGTTTTGTAAATCTTCGACATTTGATGTTGACCGCATTAGTTTTAGTGAACTCACCTAGCTGAAAGTGCTCAGTCGTGCTTCCTAAACCGGATCGCGAGTGCGTACTCTGTGCTCAACTTATCCTATAATCGCTAGTCAGTTTAGATCGATCACTTTTCTATATATCGATAACCTATCAAATATATCTTCGAAGCTATTCACTTCTGACTTCACTGGGTTGACACTTTTTGATTATAGGTTTTACTGATTGAGGTGTCAAACTCCACATACTTGTGAAATATTTGAATCTATTTAATTGAAATAATAATAATAATTTATGGACGAACCAATCAGGTCTTGGATTTTGACGCGAAATTCGTTCATCCGTTTGCCTAAATAGCATTTTGGCATTATAGCTTATGTCAGCTTATGATGAAAAACCCCATTTACTTATTTGAACACATAAATATTGGTACAAGGGGGTACCAGATATATATGCGCCACACAAAACAATGAGAATGGGAAGATAAAAAGAATGTAGGGTGCGTATAAGAAAAAAAGAAACAATAACGACTACAGGTTAGTGTATGGAAATGAAATAACAATAATAATAGTGGGGGAAACGGGAAGGTACAACCAGAAGAATTATTTCACTTAGGGGAGTTACAAACACTTTTTACGAAGAAAGTAAAAGAAGGCTACAGCACGATAGCAACTGGATTCTATTCTGAGCCATATCTGATAACGTTCCTAGCTAATGTGTTGCACCATCTCTCGGACCCCAGCCAGGGAGTCATGAACGACCAACACAAGCCAGTCCTTTGCAGCGTTCTTTCATATTACGACACTATGTCATACACTGACCACCTCTCCGATTTTTCCAACCAGTCCCAGAGTCGCCAAATAATGCACAACGTGGAATTCTATGAGACGACATTCGTAGAACATGTCCAAGCCACCAAAGTCAATGTTTCAGGATGGTGACACCAATTGCATTATCATCTCTGTGCCCGAGCACACGATGCCGAACCTCTGCATTACTAACATGGTGTTGCCACTGGATGTCAGCAATCCTTTGGAGACAACGATAATCGAACACAGAGTCGTCTAACGTCCTCAACTCGGAGAGGCCAGGTTTCGCAAGCATAGAGCAAAACTGCTCTCACCGACGCGTCATAGATCCGGCCTTTTACAGCCAGACTAACATCACGAACGTGCCAAAGGTGGCGCAGATTGGCATAAGCCGCTCTGGCTTTCACTATATGTGAATCGATCTCATCATCTCATCTCAAGAAAACCCCCAAATCTAACGTACAAGTGTAAATCCTAGTAAGTAGGTGGATATTCTAAAGGTCACTTAAGTATCGTTCTAAGGTCGTCCATAAATCAGTCTCACCAACATTATATGTACAAGACGTTGAATCAATGTTAACTTAACACAATCAACTTGAACACCTGACTCTCGAACACACATTCCTATCTCTCTTTTGAAAAACGACAATTATTTATAAATATTAAGTCTGATAGAACGCAACATTGAATTATTTTCTGTTTTTTAGGATATCTACAAAAGTAATCGGCGATATAACCGGGCAAATTACAAGTATTTTATGTAAACATTCAAAAGAAATAAATTCCAAATTAGAATTCATTATCAACAAAATGAAAAATAACATATAAAATAAACATACAAGTATTGTTAAAACCAAACATAATTTACAAAATACTTAAACAGTATTATGGATTGATATCTACTAAGTTTTCGTCTACTGCTGATTACCACCCCCAATATTTCCTCCAGCTGCATTAGGATCTTGCATACTGGAGAACAGGATGAATAAGAAAACTGCTGGAATAATATAGGTCCACTGGAATCAATGAGAAAAATAGGAAGTATTGCAAATTAATTACTAATCAATCATTTAACTGGATGAAAAAAATGAAGCTTCATTTATCTTGATTCCATTATTAAATTTACAGTTATTTTAAACTAAAAGTTCGATGGCATAACTGAGTGTAATGGTTATCAACGAGTAACTACTAACGTTTGAATAACATACAGATTACCGAGCTAATGGAGAAGGTCGTTCAGCCTGCAATTTTTTAACATCTCATTTGAAGTGATCTATGGATTTTTAGTCATCTTGATCCATACCTTTGATAGTCTGTAGAAAACGGGACACTGAAAAATTACTAATTGATCAGCTATAAGCAACGTAAAATCTGGAAAACATGTTTACGGGTTCAAATTGTGACACAATATCACAATGATGTGAAATTATATATATATATATCTTAAACCCTTGTCACTAAATCTCTTCAATCAGTTCGGTTAAAGTTTGATTTATAATATGTTTCTGGACTTGAGTATATTCTGCAGGTTTGTAGAAATCTGCCACATTTCGAATTATACTATTAGTATTTCCTCAGTATTTTGCTGGATCTACTGAATTTCAATTATAAGTCCTAGAGTCTGTGTTGTGGTTGATTTTACTGTCTGATATAGACCTCATGTAAATAAGCACAGATCGTCAAACAAGGTAAAAAATCAACTAGACGTAATAATCTTGGTGTCTACAGTCGACCTAATTCTTAGATCAATTAGTCGAGTATAAACACTACAACAGCTGATTCATAGTCAGTGAAATGAAATTCAGACGAAAGGCCAGTGAATCTATATGTTTAAGATAATAAACTCAACGAACTCTTATTTTATAATGAGGGGGCGTTTGGAGCAGATAGTGTTAACCAATAAAAGAATGATAAGATGAATTTCAATCATAATGCAGTTAGAGTGATAAAAAGTAAATTGTACGGAACGTACTTGTAAATGAACTGAAGTCTGATAGCCCGGATTTAAAGAAACACCGACAGGAATGGCTGACTAAACGAGACATCACATACGATAACAAAAAAATAAAACTTCAACGGGTTTTAGGATAACCAAACTTTGGGAACTAATGATGCTGAAACCTGTGTAAACACGTCATTTGGATACAAAGCTTGTATACGGCTTTTGAACATATGTTTGTAGTCTTAGATTTAATTCTGTGAACCAGAGTGGTCATTGGACGTGTTATGTTCAGCCGATGTAGTCATGACTGAGACGTGTATTATACGTGAGCTTGGAAAAACTATGGAGTTGTCGGGATAAAGCCATATGCTGCATGACAAAAGCAGATCAGCTAAAGGAGCTTATTATTAGTATCTATCTTTATATGGTTAATTTAAATGTAAACACCATGAACCCTTAATTTGTAACGCCTTTGGTAGTGAGCACAGGCTTAATGGTTGAGCAACTGTAATTCGTGTTATTTTTTGTAGCTTGACTATCGACTTCATTATCCAATATACACTAAGGTCTAAAGTGAAAGCAACTAGTGCCTATTTGTAGGAGCAATGCATTAATGGTAAGCCAAGTAAATATACTCTTAATGAAATTTGATAATGTCCTCCATTTAATTGTAATAGGAAGACGCTGTTACCAGTTTTGAATTAGAAAAATGAGATAGATATCTGTCAAATAAATACCAACTAATTGGTTTTAACAGTATATTTGTCAAAGCACTTGAAAAGACTACCCATTCTCCTAACTTGCAACACGAGAACCAAAAGGCCTTATATCATGGGAACAGTGAGTTTTAAAGCCGGTGGCCCCCCACTCGGTAGGTTTTAATGGAACAGGCTATAGCTATCAATGGAAACAAAACAGTAAACATTGTATTTGTAGGTCGGAGTAGATTCTATTGTATGACTTACACTTGGGACTTAACAATAAACCAGGAAGCATTGAAATCGAATTTAATTTTTTTGCGTTACATGAGACAGTTGAGGGTAAATAGTGTTCCGATTGTATTTAAAGTAAAAATCTGAGTACATATAGAGACAAACTCAAAAGCATCCAAGCACTCATTACAAGTTGAGATCTTAAAACTTTGTTGCAGGCCACTATAAACAATACCTACTATACAGGTACAAAGCAGAGAAAGTTCAAGAGAGAAACAGTTACCTAGGACGTGTGAAAACGAAGTTTAAATAAGTGAAAGACTAGAAACAAAGAAGTCATGTATGACAGTGAATTAATTCCACCGAGAGTAACCTAGATAATGAAACATTTCTGAAACTAAACAGTGAAGGTATTTACTACATCAAACCACATTTTCGACTATAATGCTATCTTAGTAACGAAAATCCTTTCGTGTTTAAAAAATGTGAACATTGGACTGTTTTTTGAACTGCTTTAATTTGTGGACGCAAGCACCACTAATCACAAAACAAACTTGGCTATCCACTTTTTTATTTCATAGTTTACAATGAGCATCTTAGGATATTCTCAGAAACTTTAGGGATCGAAACCGAATCGTCTACGTCTGAAGACCTAATTATTCTAATTAGCGGTGACCCACAAGGGTTTCTTGCTAACAAACATAGCACTGGCACTCTATGTTGATGACTACATGGAGCTAGATCACTAGCACTAAAAATATCAAAAATTAATATCCGCAATATGGTCTCATCATTATTACTGGAATAAAATATCCATTTCAACAGAAGTTACATTTAATGAAAAAAACTATCTTTCAACTTTTGGTCAACATTTTAAACGTTTTTCATTATGAGACTTTAATTGATCTCTGGCCTAAACAACAAAATGCACAACTGAGATCCAGTACAATCACTTACCATTGGAGTAGAAACGTTTCGGTCACTACAGTCAGGCTTATCGTTTACTATGATCATGGATTTAATATGCAGCAGTTAACTTTGTCGGAGCTTACTTTCTAATTCACAGGATAGCAAAACTCTGACAAATTTATACACATGAACAAATGGTTGGACAGGTTGTCTAACCCAAGAATCGTGGAGAGTAGATAAAAAAATCAGAATGACTAGTTACAGTGTACCTACAGATAAGATTCCGAACTAGATACGATGACAAGACAGTATGCAGAAACTATGTGTGACATTCTATAGAAAACGTAAAGTCTTAGTTCCTTTCGTCTGAAACAAATAACAACGAAAACCGTTAGAGAATCTAGTAACAGAGGATGTGCTAAACACATCTCAGGAAATTCGAGTCCATAAGAAGTATACCCACGAAAATACTTACATATTTAGCAAAGAAAGAACGATTGTCACTTTGCTCAGCACGAGCCATTTCTTCGCGTTGCTTCTCGAGTTTCTCTAGATACTTTGCAGTTTCAGGACTATAGAATAAAAATTGACATGATTAATACCTTGGTCCTAATTTTGGTTTTTGCAATGCTAAACTGATAGATAAATCCGGGAGGTTCATAAAACTCTCAGAAATGTCATATGAGCAATCGTACTTCGGAGTGCTCATATGTATTGCAATTGGGTCCCCGGCGTCATTAACGCTAACTGTGAGCTTTAATCTCATCCTAGAGGCAATAATTTGGCACTTGAACATGCTAGATGAGAAATTCTGTTACCGAACGAATCGAAGCTTCAATATATTCTTCGTTTTTAACAGGCATACGAACGCTATACATGTACCCGGCCCTTGCAGACTCCTTGAAAGTTTAGAAATAGAAAGTACATACCTGCAGCTGCTGTTTTTCATCAGTTGAAAAGACGTGACCCCCGGAAACTAAAGTTAGAACTCCAGATGATGATTTAATCGAAGTTCCATCCATTTGACTGAAAGCCCCATCTACTAAATATAAACTAAGGTACAGAACCTACTCTCCCTGAACCTATGTTCAAGCGTGTAACCAGAGATATCTAAAGCCTTTTGAATTTAAAACTAAGTTATTATATCGTACCGAAACTGGCGACAATAAAAACGAAAGTATGAGGGTTAACATTGGGCACGACCTTGTGAAGATAAATTTCCCACGCAAATTCTATTCTTCAGTAAATAGTTCAAGTGGTTCCGGATAGAATGGAAGGTTTCGTTTATTGGGCTTTCGTATCTACAAGCAGTGGATCACCAAGGCCTCCGTGTATTAGCCTAGGTTTATTAAAGGTAAAAAATGTTGGTGTATCATAGTAAGATGTTGTCATTAGTCTGAAGATGCCACAGGTGTTCGGAGTTTGGCAACGCTTTAACCAGTAGCACCTCTTAATATGAATCGTACCCACCAAGTGAAATCAAAAGACGGAAGCGAGGAGGTTCAAAAATATATTTGATAGGCTATCGATATATCGAGGATGGTCTTGAAGTGGCCGTTGTATCTGACTCCAAGATCGTATAAATGTTTGTTATCGCCTTTTCTCGTATATCATCGTCGACTTGAATCGCGTTATCCAATAACGGAATTAAATAAGTCGAATAACGAGAATTGACTTGAGAACACATATATTTCGAATATGAAGCGAATGAAGCACAGCAAAGTAAAAATCACACGTATGGAAGATGGCTGGGAAGCCAACTCCATTTTAATTAAGCGTTACTCAGTATTTATAGGCAGACAAAATAAACTACAGACATGTGATGAATCATGGGATATGAAGTGTATACACATATACGCTCATGTGAAAACAGTCAAGGCTAACAAGCGAATAATTAACAAGGTCAAAACATGACTCAAGTAGAATGAGTAGAAGGGAATGTCCGGAAACTAGAATAAGATATATTATGGGCTAAAATTAATGACTAACACTACAGTCTGATCTAATATGGCTAGCGATTGTAGGGGTTGTTGGGCACGGCGTTCCCACTCGTGATCTGGTGCGGATGCATGAACTAGTGCCTTCAGCCAGGTGAGTCCATTAAACATGATGTGGTCAGCATCCAATGTCGAAAACTTACAGAGCTATTTATTTCGGAGATTTATTTTCCGCACTCACCCCCCCTAGGGGGTAGTGATGACCTTAAGACGTGGCCAACCAGAAGTTTAAACCCAGCGAGTTTGTCGTTGGTAAACACTCTTCTGATAGCTTGCTAGGTTTAGCAGCGTCTGGTAATCTTTCCTTACTACAAGGGACTGTAGTGACCTACTTTTATCGAGAGAACGCGAATGGTGTAACGGAAACAATTATTATTATTATTATTAATGGCTTTATTCAATATTATATTTTGGTACAATATAGAATTACTATGACCAACTGTACCAGTGATTGTTTTGCCGTACTTGTTTGTTTATCTGCACTAAAGACATCCATTATTCTTCCTTCCGTTGATTGTGACCTTGCACGAACTTACGTTTGATTTGTAACCACACTTGTAACCTGGCATGACCTCGGTATTCTTTCGATACCTCGAGATCGCTAACAAATATATCTCGACTACAGCCATCAACTGCCTTCTGATATTTGGCTTAAGGGAGATCTTATCGGTTAACTTACACGGAGTCTTCCTGTAGTGGTGATCAAAGTCAACCGCGACTCGACGCCACACTACAGGACCATGAAGTATAATATAGTAAAAAAGAAAAATTACAATGAAAATTTCGGTTCCCCGTAACCTTCATCGTTCTTTCTATCGTCTTTTCCAGCCGTCCTGGAAAAATATATATATAAGTGCATGCCGAAATACACACGTACGCGCGTAAAAACACAAAGCGGGTGAAAAAAGGAAAATAAACTCACGCACACGTTATAGAATCCTGATAATATGGTTTTTTTGTTTTGTTTTTGCGAGATAAAAATATAAATATATAAGCATATTAAAATTGTCCTTTTTTATTACATATAGTACAAAGAAAAATCGAGATGATATACAATGTCAACTAGTATTCTACGTGCAATAATCGTTCAAATGTTCTGGAAATCTTTATCTTCTTCCAGAACGCGTCGTTTTAAGTTTATTTTCTGATGCTGCCGAAGTATGATCGTGTGTGTTGCCTGTCGGTTGAGATATTATAAGTGTAGGAGTCGTGTCGTGCGATTGTGCCGAAGGAAAATCGATGTGAATAAGACTTCCTTCTAAATAAGCTGCTTTGTTGCTGTCGATGCTAATGCTATCTTTGTTTCCGTTATTATCGATTGTATAGTACTTCGGTTTGTGTTGAAGAACTTTGAAAGGTCTTTCGTATGCTGATTCATAAGGTTGTCGATGCGAGTCTCGATGTCCGAAGACGTGTGTACCATATCGTATGTCAAGTTGAACAAAAACACCAGTTGATTGAGGTCGAGTGGAAACAGGTTTAACTGAACATGTAAGCCTATTAGTGTGGGAAGTTAGATCCATGTTCATTGAAGAGGATGAAGGATCCACGAATTCTCCTGGAAGTCGAAGTGTCGTACCATAAACGAGTTGAGACGCGGTGTATCCAATGTCAGCTTTCACTGCATTGCGGATACCTAGTAAGACGAGTGGAAGAGCGTCGGTCCACTGTGAAACGTTTGCAGCTGATAGCGAAGCTTTCAGTTGTCGGTGAAAACGTTCTACCAACCCGTTTGCTTGTGGATGGTAGGCCGTCGTTCGGAAGCGAGTGATTCCTAAAAGCGTGGTCAGACGACGGAAAAGATCGGATTCAAACTGACGTCCGCGGTCTGTGGTGATGGTTGAAGGGCAACCGAAGTTTGCTGCCCATCGTTCGACGAAGGTGCAGGCCACTGTTTCAGCAGTGATGTCCTTAATAGGTACTGCTTCTGGCCATCGAGTGAAACGGTCTACGCAGGTTAAAAGATAAGAGTATCCATTTGAATCTGGTAAAGGTCCTACCAAATCCAGATGAACATGGTCGAAACGAGCATCGGGAGTTTTAAATGAGCCTAAAGGACATTTACTGTGTCTGATAACCTTAGATTTTTGGCAGCTTACACAGGAGCGTGCCCACTCCCTCACGTCTTTATTCATTCCAGGCCAGCAAAACCGTTCTGCTATAAGCTTGATGGTTGCACGAACTCCTGGATGAGAAAGTTCGTGCAATGTGTTGAAGACATTGCGTCGATAATGTTTCGGCACGATTGGGTGATCCCTACCTATAGATGTGTCACAAAGCATGGTTTATTTACCCGTTCCAGTCTCTCCGATGCGTAGTTTGAGGATTCTTGAGGATAACTCGTGCTGAAGATCAGTGTCTTTTTTTTAAGCTGGGCGAGTTTCAGAGGGTCGATGCCTTGGAAACTGTTCACGGAGGTTATTCGAAATAAAGCGTCTGCGACTACATTGTTTGCTCCAGAAATGTGTTGAATGTCTGAAGTAAACTACGAAATGTAGTCCAGTTGTCGAGACTCACGAGGCGAGTACTTGTCTGAAGAGGAGCTCAAAGAGAAAGTAAGAGGCTTATGATCAGTGAAATGGGTGAATTCACGGCCTTTGATATAGTGTTGAAAATGCCGTACAGCACAATACATAGCTAGGAGTTCCCTACCGAATGTGCTGTATCTCGATTCGGTGTCTAGCAACCGTCTAGAGAAAAATGCCGAAGATTGCCGAGAGTGGTTAACCCATTGCTGTGAGACTCCTCCGATTGCTGAGTCGGATACGTCTACTGAGATACTAATGGGTGCTTGAGTGTCCTGATGTGCAAGCATTGTTGCTTTAGCGATAAGTTCCTTAACTGTGGAGAATGCTTTTCGTGCGGTGTCGTCTAGATTGATGGATTTCGCATTTCCACGAAGTTGGTCGGTAAGAGATTTCATGAGTTACGTGCATTTCAGTATGAATCGTCTACAGAAACTTACAAGGCCGTTAAACGTTCGTAACTGCTTGATCGTGGTTGGTTCTGGGTAATCCAGAATGGCCGCCACTTTGGTTCTAAGGGGTCGAATGCCTTGAGCACCGATAGTGTGTCCTGGGAAGTTTAATGAGTCGGTTCCGGTTAGGCATTTCTGAATGTTTACATTAATTACGTGTTTCTGTAGTCGGAAGAAAACAAAATCTAGATGCTGAAGATGCCATTCTGTCCGGACTTGCTATTAGGCAGTCATCAACATACGCATTTACGAAGTTGAGACCTCGAGAAACGTCGTCGATGAATCTTTGGAAAGTTTGGGCAGCGATTCTTATACCGAAAGGCATTCACAAAAATTCGTACAGTCCGAAAGGAGTTATATGAGCTGTTTTCGGAATATCTTCAGTAGTCATAAGGATTTGGTCATACGCTTTAACCAAGTCGATTTTAGAAAAGACAGTTGTACCTTTCAATGTAGCTGTCAAATCGTGAATGTGAGGCAACGGGCGACGATCAGGGATGGTTTTTTGGCATTCAACCGCCGATAGTCGCCAGTTGGACGCCAATCGTTTCTGTCCTTTTTAGGGACCATGTGCAACGGAGATGCCTATGGGCTGTTTGACGGTCTTATGATACCCAAGTCTATCATGTGGTCGGACTCGTTCTTCGCCAACCTTAGCTTTTCGGAGGCTAGTCGTCGTGCTTTAGAGAATACAGGCTGTCCTGTAGTCGTGATGTGATGTGTAACATTGCTGGTTACACACGGCTATTTTGGTTGCGGTTGGCATATCCCAGAATACTTATAGAGTATTGGTTGATAGAATGGGTCTTCCATGTGCTTAATTGTGGCTGAAGATAATCTGCAACCGGAAAAAGAAGTTACACAAACAGATAAATTAGTATTTCGGTCTACTAGCCTCCGTTTGTGCGTATCGATGATTAAATTGTGGTGCTGTAAGAGGTTCATACCAATGATTGGTATGGAAACATCTGCAAC